ATCGCGACCCTCAGGGGAGCCGGGCAGGGCCGAGACGTGGCAGGTCGGGTGAGCTATCCCACCAGAGTGTCGATCCAGGGCGCCCATTCAGGCGCGCGGAGCGGCCTCCAAGCCGCGGAACAAAACTCGCAGGCAAACGAGCGGCGGGGGGCAAACGAGCGGCGGAGGCACGGATCGCGACCCTCAGGGGAGCTGGGTCTGGGTCAACGTGTAAGTCGAGACTGCGTTGAAGTGGATCGGGGAAAGCAAGGGTCGGACACGCCTGGGAGCTCTGCTGCATCAGCTGGTGGCTTTTCTAGCAGGCCTCGTCGGCGCCATGGGAGGGTACCTGTTCGGCATCTCATCGGCTAAGCTGAAGCTGGCTGCCATTGGATTGGTTGGGCTTGGTGAAGCTACCGTGCTGGGTCCGGTGGTCAGCGCCCTGGTTTGGCTCCTCGGGGCCTTCCTTAAGTTGAGGTGCAACGATAGGGGGGGACTGGCATAGGGGACGGGGGGGAACATCGAATTGGAATCGGCGATACATCGCCGATAGATCGGCGATAGGCCCACGATACTGAATTCGCACCTTCCTGGGCAAGTTGGGGCTATTGGGCTCCTATCGGCCATCAATGGGCAATTGGGGGTTTATACATCCCCCCCCTATGCCTATCCTATCCTACCGTTGCCCCAGATAGGTACTGCAGCTGCGTCCAGAACACCGTGCGAGGCTCTGCGCGAGGGCACAAGGCTGGCCACGACGTGCGCGCAGCTTTGGAGGGTATAGCCCGGATGCTGCGCTGGCTTGGTGCGGGCCCGACGCGGCAGAGCCCTTCACCAAGAGGTGCGTGACGGATGAGGTCAGGTCTCGAGGAGGAGGCGATGAGAAGATGATGCGGAAGAACCTGCTGATTAGGTCGGGCGGCTCCACTGCCAGGCTTGATCGGGAACCACTCAAGGGCAGCCGAATCACGCGGCGCGGCTACGTCTATCGTCGGTTCGAGGACCTGCTGGGCAGCTCCCACCGTCACCTCAAGTCAAACGTAGACGCCACCATGGATGAGGAGGGTACTGGCAGGGTTCACTTGTGTGCCTCTAAGTCGCGCACAATGCCCGATGACGGTAACAAGAATGTGCACATCCGATCCTCGTGCGTGACGGACCACAACAGCTCTGTCCACGTGGCGGACTTGGCGAATGCCTCCCCCTCGGGCAGGGCTCGTGCGGGCGGCCGCATATGCTGCTCATGGGCCTGCCGGGGCGTGGGGAAGCTGGTGAGGAGGGCATGCGGGTGCTGCGCGAGGAAACGCTTGAGGCATCCACGCCCAGGCAGCGGATCTAGGACGCGAAAATCATGGACCTCAGCTCGGAGACGGAGTCGGACCTGTGCGCGGACGCATGCGAGGCAGACCAGATCGCCGACCCACTTACAGCCTGTGCCCGAAGGGCTACAAGGACTCAGCGAGAGCACAGCCCGTGATGATGATGATCGTCGAGGACACGGCCATTTTCGATGTGCGGGAAGCGCCCGAGGTGACCGGCACACGGAGCTTCCGAGCTTGCCCCCTCAACGCTCAGGCCTACGAGACCCAGGCGGCAGCCAGGAAGTGTGCTCGAGCCCAAGGCAACCGCGAGATGACGATGGAGAAGGACGGGTTCCCCCTGAGCGCGGCGCACGCGGTGGACCGCACGGTGTCTTGGCGCAGCCGGTCTACAAAGCCACAGCCAAAGGAGGAGGGCGACCGCAACACCAAGAAGCCCGAGCCTTCGGGCATGAAACCAGACCGTCCCGCAGCGCCCGCCCGTTATGGCAGCACGGGAGCCAAGGAGCGAGCAGACGCGGTTGGCTGGCACACGTTCGTGATCGTTTGGCAGACGCGGTTGGCTGGCACACGTTCGTGATCCTGGAGGCCTACTACAGTTTCCCGGCACGCTTCATCGGCCTTTCCACGCAATCCTCAACAGACGACCCTCGGACCGATGTCGAGGTCGTTGGGCCGCGCACCACCTTTTCCATTCCAGACGGCGTGCTGCCCGCCCCGCGCCCGGAGCTGCTAGAAGAGTTCGGCATCTTGCCTATTCATCAGGGATTCGCGCATTACCTTGATCCTGCTGATAGGCTCTTGGTCTGAATACAATTTTGGCGGCGCGCACAAGGGGGTAGGGGGAGGGGGAAGGCTTCTTAGAAGGAGGCTGCTTCTTAGAAGGCGCCAGCCTTACATCTCCAAAAAAGACCCGCGCCTTCTAAGAAGCAGGGGTGCTTCTGAGAAGCCTTCCCCCCTCCCCCTACCCCCTTCTGCGCGTGGCCAGCAAACGTGCGTGATCTTCTAGCAGTGGTCCCAGGTTGAGTCTCGGAGAGGGCGTACTTGACGCCACGGCTACGATGTCCGCTGAGCGGACGTGCCGGGCAACCAAAGAGCTGGCGGGCCGAGGGAAGCGAGGCCGGGCGCGCGCGCGGGCCCTCTTAGTAAAACGTGGTTTAGTGAAAACGACCTGAGGCGCAAACCTGGCGGGCGCAAGCCTGGAAAATAACGGCCACGGCGCCCTCTCGAGAACCGAAAACGGACAATTCACTAATCGACGTGTCACTGTTAGGGGTTCTGTCCACCCCCGAATTGCTCCCGTCATGAACACCCTGACAATGAACACCCCGACACGCGAAGCCGTTTAGCAAACGCACTCAAAGAAGATAATCAAACAGGGCAAGGCTGTTTGGTAGACGCCCAGGGCCGTTTAGAGAGCGCCAATGGTCCCGTCCGGGTGGTTTCTCCTCCCTTGAATCATCTTTGCCACGAGGAGGGGAGGTGGGGGACGCCCTGCACCCACCGTCCTCCCCTGGGCTCCTGCGCCAGCACCCCGAAGCGCTCGCCCAGGGCCGCGAGGTCCTGCCCGTCGCCGCGGCCCATCGGGTGTTGCTAGAAGAACCCCTGGCCCGAGGTGCCCAGAGGATCTCCAAGGAGGCCCCCACGGCTTCGAGAGCACCCCTCACGAGGCCCAGAGGGCCACAGGGGCTCCAAAAGTGAACGAAAAGCTGGGGGCACCTTGGGCCAGGGGCACCTTTAGCAACCCTTGGGTCGGGCCTGTCCCCCTACAGGCGGATCTTGGAGGAAAAGTTCAATAAAAACAAAATACCCCAGAATGATCAAAATTGCCCCCCCCCCCAAAAAAAAAGTCCCCTGACCATTTCTTCACTATTCTTGAATAGTCCTCCTGTAGAAGGACAGGCCCGACTTTAAAGCTAGAAGAGGAGAAGGAGGAGGAGGAGGAGGAGGAGGAGGAGGAGGAGGAGGGGGGAGGAACAGGAAAAGGAAAATGAGGGGGAAAAGGAGGAGGAGGAGGAAGAGGGGGGGGGAGGAGGAGGAGGAGGAGGAGAGGAGGGGAGGGGAGGAGGAGGGAGGAGGAGGAGGAGGAACAGGAGGAGGAAAAGGAGGAGGAGGAGGAGGAGGGGAGGGCACCTTGGGCCAGGGGCACCTTTAGCAGCCTCCGAGCCCAGGCCGCCGCACGGCCCCGCTGGCGCCGGCGCGGCCGAGCTCGCCGGGCCCCCTCCGTGCTGCGGCTCGCCAGGTCGCCCGGCTTCGTGGGCCGCGCCCCGCGGTGCGCGGCGCGCGGTTACCTTAGAGGGACAGGCCCGACTTGAAGGTAACCGCGGGTTTACCAAAGGTGCCCCTGGCCCGAGGTGACCCCCCTCCTCCTCCTCCTCCTCCTCCTCCTCCTCCTCCTCCTCCTCCTCTTCCTCCTCCTCCTCCTCCTCTCCTCCTCCTCCTCCTCCTCCTCCTCCTCCTCCTCCTCCTCCTCCTCGGGCCTGTCCCTCTACGGAGGAATACTCAACAATAGTCAAAAAATAATCATGGGGACGATCTTTTGGCTATTTTCGATCATTCTGTGCATTTTTGGACTATTTCCTATTTTTCCTGCAAAATCCGCCTGTAGGGGGACAGGCCCGACCTAAGGTTGCCTTCGCGCCCTCGCGCCCTCGCACGGCCCCGATCGGAGAAGGGCGGCCGCTCTGGTCCAGACCGCGATCGCGCGAGCCGTGGTTGTACGTCGGAATCGACCCCCACAACAAGCACCCCGACAGGCGAAGCCGTTTCGTAGCAAACGCACCAGAGGCAGAGATCGAAACAGGGCTGGGCTGTCTAGCCAACGCCCAGGGCTGGCCGTTTGGCAAGCGCCAACTATCGGGGTCGGGGTGATTATTCCGCCCTTGACTGAGGGGGTGGAACCTTCGACTCACCGCCTCTTTCGCTGAGGGCTGGACGACCCGTTGCGGTCTCGCGACTGTTTAGTAAACGCCCAGGGCCGTTTGGCAAACGCCAATTCTCGGGGTCGGGGTGGTGCTTCCTCCCTTAACTAAGAAAGAAGAGGAGGAGGAGTCAACGATGTTGGAATTAACCCTCCTCCAAGCTCCCTCTTCATAGACCTCTACAACGGTCCATTTCCATTGGGAGAACTGCCTCGTTGGAAGACAACCGTTTGAAGGTCCTTAAGCATGCCCAAACATTGTTCTCGGGATTTCAACGCCACGGATCAACCTGACTGCTGCGTCTTGACGATCTGGAATCATGCCAGAACGCCATCTTTGGGACTTCAACACCGCGAATCAACATAACTGTTGCACCCACATAATCCTGAATAATTCCACAACGCAATTTCTGGAACGTTGGTCATGGGAAGCAATCGAACGTTTGCAACGTTTAACAACGAATGCGCGCGGCGCCAAGGCGAGAGCCATATTTTGAAAAGTGACCGCCCTCAATTCGTGAAACTCTTGCAACTGATTCAAACGAATGTGCGCGGCGCTAAGCCGAGAGCCACAGTTCCTCCTCCTCCTCCTCCTTTTCCTCCTCCTCCTCCTCCGCCTCCTCCTCCTCCTCCTCCTCCTCCGCCTCCTCCTCCTCCTCCTCCTTCTCCTCCTCCTAACCCCCCCGCATCATCCTGCTCCTCGTCATCCTCCTCGCTCCCACCCCCCGCGTCCTGCCGCATGCCCGCGAGGTCGGCGACGCTCAACCTCCAGGCCGAGGGTCCTCGCGGGGAGGCGAGCCTTCGTCGTCCTCCTCCTCCTCCTGCTCCTCCTCCTCCACCTCCTCCTCACCACAACCACCATAACCACCAGCGCCACCACCACCATCACCATCATCATCAGCAGCATCAGTATCAGCATCATCACCACCACCATGATCATCACCATCATAATCATCATCACCATCATCATCATCATCATCATCATCATCATCATCATCATCATCAACATCATCGTCATCATCAACGTCATCCTCATGATGATGATCATCATCATCATCATCACCACCAGCATCAGCATCATCATCGTCATCGTCATCATCGTCGGCGTCGTCCTCGTCGTCACCATGACCACAATCATCATCATCAGCATCATCGTCATCATCATAATCAGCATAACAATCATCAAAATAATCACCATCATCATCATCATCATCATCATCATCATCATCATCATCATCATCATCATCATTGTCATCATTGTCATTAGCATAATCATTGTTATCATCACCAACACCATCATCACCATCATCATCAGTATCATCGTCATCATCATCACCACCACCATCATCATCATAATCATCATCAGCATCAGCATCATCATCATCATCATCAGCATCGTCATCATCACCGTCACTATCATCATCAGCAGCATCATCGTCAGCATCAGCATCGCCATCACCATCATCATTACCTCATCACCATCATCATCAGCAGCATCATCAACATCACCATCACCATCACCAGCACCACCACCACAGCCATCATCATCATCATCATCAGCAGCAGCATCATCAGCATCATCATCAGCAGCAGCATCGTCATCATCATCAGCAGAATCAAAACGCGCATCTTCAGTATATAGCATCATTATCGGGAGCAGCAGCAGCGTCAGCAGCATCATCATCATCATCACCATCATCATCATAATCATCAGCATCCTCACCATCACCAGCGTCATCAGCATCAGCAGCATCATCAGCATCAGTGTCAGCATCATCATAACCATAATCAGCAGCATCATCAGCATCATCATCATCAGCATCATCAGCATCATCATCATCATCCGCAGCAGCATCAGCATCAGCATCAGCAGCAGCATCAGCATCAGCACCAGCATCATGTTCATCATCATCAGCATCATCGTCATCATCGCCGTCGTCGTCGTCATCATCGTTAGCAGCATCATCTCGTCATCATCAGCATCACCACCGTCATCATCAGAAGCAAGAGCACCCGCATCAGCATTATCATCAGCATCAGCATCAGCGTTGGCATCATAATCATCATCATGATTATCAGAATCATCATCATCATCAGCAGCAGCATCCTCATCACCATCCTCAACCACAGCATCGACGGCAAAAAAATATCCGCATCGCTACCATCACCATTACCAGTATCAGCATCACCCTCGCCCTCATCAACCGCATCGCCAACATCATCATTATAATCATCATCAGCAGCAGCAGCATCATCCGCATCATCAGCATCATCATCAGCACCATTAGCAGCATCAGCATCATCATCATCATCAGCATCACCATCATCATCATTATCATCACCATCAGCAGCATCCTCAGCACCATCATCGTCAATATCAGCATCATCGCCGTCGTCATCGTCAGCGTTAGCATCATCGCCGTCATCATCACCATATTCACAGCCACGATAAACATCATCCCGCACATCAATCATCTGAGTGCCATCATCACAGTCATCCGCATCAGTATCATCACATCATCGGCAGCAGCCTCATCATCCTCATCATCATCAAGATCATCAGCATCATCATTATCAGCATAGTCATCATCATTATCATCGTCATCGTCATCGTCATTCATCAGCATCATCATCAGCAGCAGCATCATCATCGGCATCGTCATCATCACCCTCATCGTCCACATCATCATCATCATCATCATCATCATCATCATCAGCAGCAGCAGCAGCAGCAGCAGCATCATCCGCAGTAGCATGCTCATCAACGTCGCCGTCCTCCTTCCCCTCCTCCTCGACATCATCATCAGCGTTCTCCATCAGACTCCCCCCATCATCCTCCCCACCTCTTCATCATCATCAGCATCGGTATCAACAAGATCCATCCATAAATCCATGCATCCATCCTTCACTCATCATCAGCATCGTCATCGTCATCATCATCATCATCATCATCATCATCACCATCATCATCATCACCATCATCATCATCAGCATCATCATCGTCACAATCATCACAACCACCACCACCACCACCATCACCATCACCACCACCACCATCATCATCATCGTCATCAACATCATCATCAACATCATCATCAGCAACATCATCATCCCGCCTCTTCCGTCTCCTCCTCATCCTCCTCCTCCGAATCAAAGTCCGCCTTCTCCTACGTACCTCCCGTCTCCTCCTCATCCTCCTCCGCCCTGAGCCTCCTCCTCCTTCTCCCTCATCTGCCCTCCGCCTCCTCATCATCCCCCCATGTTCCCATCCCCCCCCCTCCTCATCCCTTTTCCAATTCCTCCAAATCCTCCTGCTCCTCCTCCTCCTCCTCCTCCTCCCCCTCCTCCTCGGCCTCCTCCCCCTCCTCCTCCCCAGGGAGACTGACGCAGGACGATGATCAGGAGCGAAGCGGAGAAGGTGGGGGAGTCCGCCCTCCTTCGTCATCGTCGTCCTCCTCTTCCTCCTCCCCGTGACCCTCCCCCTCCTCCTCCTCGTCCTCCTCCTCTTCCTCCCCTTCCTCAGTCCTCCCTCCTTCACGGCCGCCGCGTCCACGCCTCTTTTCTGTTCGTGCACCCTCCTCCGATGAGGAAGAAAGAGAGAAAGATAGATAAGAGAAAGAAAGAGACAGACAGAGAGAGAGAGAGGGAGAGAGCAAGAAAATGAGAGAGAGAGACACAAGGAGAGGCAGGCAGAGGGGGGATAGAGAGGGAGAGAGAGAGAGAGACTCGAAGGAGCAACGATCTCTCCTATCTCTCCTCTTTTCGATATTATGTATCATATTGTCGTACCTCTATCCCCTTCCTCTGTATTTCTCTCCACCTCCTCTTCCTCCGGAAAGAGAGAGAGAGAGAGAGAGAAGAAAGAGAATAAAAGGGGGATAGAGAGAGACACACTCGAGGGAGCAACAATCCATGTGAAATCCCACCAGCCCTTTGGGCGTGAGTGGTTTAGAGAGCCCGCTCTGTTCTCAACCCCCTTCTTCCCCTTCGGGGAGGGGTGTACCCCTCCCCCTACCCCCTCCCCTGGGCCTGGAGAGGTCCCTCCGCGGGTCGTCAGGGGAGTCATTTTCGACTCCTGGGAGGGCTAAAAAACGACACCCCTCACGAGGATTCTGGCCCCGACGGGGGGAGGGAGAAAAAACCCTCTCCTCTTCTGTGAAGCCAAAATCATTGATTGTACTTCGGTTTTGGCCCCACTTTGGCGTTCTGAGGGGGCAGCGCTCATGAAAGCTCCCCTCTTCCTTCAAGGCAAAATCATTGATTTTACGAAGGTTGTGGGCTCATTTTGCCCTTCTGAGGGGGCAGCGCTCATTGAAGCTCCCCTCTTCTTTGATCCATTCCCTCCAAGATGGCCCCAAGAAGTGCCCAGGAGGCACCAAGAGGCCCCAAGATGGCCCCAAGGGGTCCCCAGGAGGCCCCCAAGAGGCCTCCAAGAGGCCCCCAAGATGCCCCCAAGAGGTCTCCAAGAGGCCCCAAGAGGCTCCCCCGAGGCACCCAAGACGCTCCTGGAAGCCCCTGAGGCCGCCAAGAGGCCCCCAAGACGCCCCAAACTGCCTCCAAGGGGCTCCCAAGAGGCCCGAAGAGGCTCCCCCAAGGCACCCAAGACGCTCCTAGAAGCCCCTGGGGCCGCCAAGAGGCCCCCAAGACGCCCCAAAAGGGGACGAGGTGCCCGAACGCCTCACGCCACGAGGAGCCCGAACGACTCACACCAGGACGGACGAAGAACGCCCCGAACGACTCACACCACGGGGCCCGAACGACTCACACCAGGACGAGGCGCCCGAACGACTCACACCACGAGGAGCCCGAACGACTCACACCACGACGAGGGCCCCGAACGACTCACACCACGAGGAGCCCGAACGAGTCACACCAGGAGGAGGGGCCCGAACGACTCACACCAGGACGAGGGGCCCGAACAACTCACACCACGAGAAGCCCGAACGACTCACACCAGGACGAAGAGCCCGAACGACTCACACCACGAAGAGCCCGAACGACTCACACCAGGAAGAAGGGCCCGAACGACTCACACCAGGACGAGAAACCCCAAACGACTCAAACCACGAGGAGCGCTTTCTCTCCCTCCTCCTCCGCCTCGTCCTTCTCCCGCTCCCACCACAAGGAGGATGTACAAGGAGGCGGGAGGAAGGAGGAACAGGGGAGATATGCGGGGGCAGGCGGAAACACGCCTGAAAAACACGACTGTCGGCATGCTTCGCAAGAGTTGCTGTTTTGAGATGGGCTGGTGGGGATACACGAAGCGTAAAGAATTACAAGGTTTGTGACGCAAAGGGGCACCAAACCCTGTGATTTCATTTAGATGTCTAGAATTCTGGGATGAGAATTCCAAGAAACATCTGATTTCATGTGGATACAGCGGGCGTCTGGGATGATACATCCTCCGACGAAGATCCGCGCTGCATCCATCCAGGGCTCTGGAACCCAGAAATACACTAAAATGAAAATAGACTCACCTGATTTCCGGGGGTCTCATCCCACGCATCCCAGAAATCAAAATGAAATCACAAGGTGTGGCGCCCCCTTACTTTGCAAACCCTGTGAATTCATGTGGAATTCTGGGGTTCAGGGTTCTGAAGGCTGCAGCGTGGATTTCCGTGAAATTGAAAAGTGGCCTGGCAAAGGACCCAACCAGATGCAGTTGTGAGTGGCCGCCGTTGTGAGAACCGCCTCTGGCGGAGCTCCCTATGGGGCCACGAGACGTGTGAGATGTGTGCCGACATGGGTGCGGCGGCGCCATGCGGGCGCTGCCACTGGAGCC